AATAAATCAATGGCATTTATAGAGCCTGGAGACAGGCGAAGCTTTTCTTTCTTTTTTAATCGACTTCCTTACTCCAGCTAAATAAACAACGACCACCCCCTCCCTGAGCCTGGAAAGAAAATCCCCCGACAAGTAATAAGGAGGCGGAATAATAGGAGGTCGAGGAGAGGGGGGTGCCCGTGCCCGATTAATCTCGGAGAGAGGAGGAGGCCAAGATCCTGGGATCCGCAGGATCTGGGCACTGGCGCATTGGGAGCTCGATCTTGAGCATTGGTTCTGGAGCACGGTGGGATCGAGTGGGTTGCAAAAAGCGGAGGGAGGAGACATGCCGACCACGTAATGCCCTTCCTTCTTCTCCCTCGGCTAACGTCTGGTGGGGGGCAGGGCCAGAATAACCGAGGTTCCGAAACTGCTCTCCCTCGCTCCAGCCCGTCGACTTTCCTGAAAAGGAGGCGCGGGTGGGTGGACACCCATGCACATCATGAGTTGAACGGTCGAAGCAGCCGCACAGAGCGCCCTCCCCCGTCTCTTTCCTAGTGGTTCCGGGAAGAGTCGTCTCCTCCGAACTGTTCCCCATAGATCCAACTAGACCGGGACTTTCTCCGACAGTCTTGGATCTATGCAAATCTCTAGGAAGAGCGCCTCCCAGGCTCCACTTCGGTGCGCTCTGCGAAAACCTACCAGCCCCGGCGCTTTCCCGCTGGTGTGCAATTTCCCCCCTTCGTCTGGCATTCTGCAGAGGAGTGGAGAAATGCAACTATTTTTTTTCCTTTTATTGCGACGTTTTGAGCCAAACTCGGGGAACGTTGACTTCAGCATATTTTCTGTGAGAAGCACAAAGGCGCGGGGAGATGAGCGAAAGACACTGCTGAGTGAGTGTGTGATGCAGAAATACCACATAGTGTGCTGTAGTAGCTTATAACTTATGTCCAGAGAGAAAAGTTACTTACCCACCGAAAAGAATATTAGCCCTTCCACTCGAAGTCTCTGAGTTTAGCGCTTAGGGCTACTTAGAAGAAACTTCCATAAACAACAATTATCCTTGCCCCCCCCCCCCCCGTAAATTCTGGTGAGAGCAAGGAAAGGTTACCTATACTTATACATTTGTGTAACCCTAAGGCCCTTCAGAGTCTTGGAAAGCCATAGGGTTTCCCGACGTGTTCCTTACTTCTGGAAATGCTAGATGTGACCAAAAGAGGTATTTGTATGCTTCCGTACAGAAGTTGCGATCACGACCTATCCCCGCCAACAATCCAGTTGCCCCGAATCATTTTGATTTGGATCTAGAAGAAGCTTAAAGTGAGTCCTGTTCTACTCTGCTTTTCTGCTTAAAATCAGAGGGGACCTCTCTCTCTCCCAAGGGACAGACTAAGTTTTGTACTCCACCACACTTTTCATTTTCTGACGCCCCTATGCTTGATGGGGGTTGGAATGAAAACCAAAGAGCTCATAGAAGTATACTAGTGTTCAGGCAATAGTTTTATAACAATATCTGGAGAGTCTATAATATACTTAACTCTCTGCGATCGAATACATTAAAATACAAAACCAAGTCCCATCGTCAGTCAATCGGTATATGTGATTTTAACACACTTCCGGGAAGCGGGTAGAGGCGGGGACGATTGATGAGTCTACTTGCAGGATGTTTAAAAAAAGAGAGAAAAAAGCAACCGAGACATCTTCCCTTCTAAAAACGCCAGTTCTGAATTACAAAGTCGACTTTCGCAGCAACAAAAAGCAGTGCCAGCAATCCAGCTGTTTCTGCTTAAGTTTAAATACTTTCCAACAGTTTAGGGAGTGAAAATAAAGTCGACTTCAAGAGTCTGTTAAGAGAGGTTCTGATTTCCTAACTCTGAAGTACCTCGGGGGGGGCTTTTCGCTAGTCTTCTGGAGAGAGTGCGACGGGGTGGGAGAAAGGAGAGTGGCGGTGGGGTAGGGAAAGTGTGGGGTAGGTCAGGTCCCACCCGGGGTGTGTGGAGGTCGGGAACAAACCACCAGCCGATCCCGTCCTTAAGGGCACGAGCACTCACCCAACAAGTTCTCCCAATTTCTCACACTCACCATAAACTCTGGGTGAACCTTTTCACTGAACCGTTTACCGGATCTCATTTCGATCCGCTTCTCCGCCAAACTCTTGAGAACACTAAAGCACTTGAAGAGTTCGGATATTTGCTCTAAAGAGATATTTTGCTGTATTTCACCCCTCGGTGACTTTATTGCCTTCTTGCCCCTGTTAACTATATTTATCTTTTGACACTTTGAAGAGACTTAAAGGATTAGGAGACGTGGGAAGAGAGAACAAAGGCAGAAACAATTTTCTATTTTGTGTTTTCAAGGGGGGGGGGGGTGTCTGTTTTTGCACTTTTCCGTGAAACCTAAACAACGATCCTCTCAAAGTGAATATTATATTTGCTTTATGGTGATTCCAGAGTGAATAGCAGCCCTTTTTTGTCGCACAAGGAACCGGAGTGCGGGGAGGGGGGGGGAGACACCAATACAATCCTAGCATACTGTCACGCTTGTAAGAAATTAAAACACGAAAACAATCGGACGGGAAGCGAAGGTACGACCAGAAATATAACTTTGCTAGGTAGCATTTCACCAAAAGAAGTGCGGTGTTGGTTCCAGATGAAACACAAGATAAGAAAAGGAATCCAGCCGTTTCTCGACACTGTCTCAATGTCCACCTTTAGCTTCTGTGCCTCAGCGGGGGGGGGGAGGAGGGAGAAAGGGCTCCACTATATAAGACTGCAGACACCCGCCAAACTTGCCAGGGTAGGAATTCTATAACCACCTTAAACCTCTAGAATAGAGGGAGGTATTGGGAGCAAGAGGTGGCAGCAGAATCTTGAATCGGAGCTACGTCGGACATTTGGAGGTTACTCAGCTATGTCTCTCGAGATGCCCTTGTTCACCTTTACCTGTTTGATTCCTTCAATGCAACACGGTACGAATTAGAACACACTGCAGTCTCTCCCTCCCTCTCTCTCTCACACACACACTCACACACACACTCCACAGGCGATTTCCAAACACCGCGAGTTGAAAGGTTGCTGGTTCCACCAGCAATCTACGTGCGTCTCTGCTTCAATAAATAAGGTAAAGCTTTCTCTTCCGCTAGGTTGTCTCTATCTGGTTGCAGTTTTGTCCGCCACGGAATGGGTCGGGGCGCCTGGTGAATGTGGAAATAAAATACTTAGTGCTGCAATTTTATAACGAGGAAACGGCAGCGGGTCCATTTGCCTCGCTATATTAATAGTTTGGTTAAAGTACCTGCCCGTCCCCAATTCGCCCGGCCTCCTCCCTCTCGCTTTCTTTGTGTCCCCACAGCTCTCGGAGGAAATGAACCTCGCGCAACACCTGTTTCTTTCCAGGACGCCTAGCTTTTCTCTCTCCCAGTTTGGGGCCGAAATCGGGACCGGGAAGGGGCTAGCGCTTGGGCGAATCAGAGAGCAGCTGCCGAGTTACTGGGATCTCCTCCCGGCCTGGGATCGGGGGGAAACCATTTGGCCAGAGACAGTCGCGGTGGGAGTCGCTTCCTGCTGAGGCTGCCTTCTCCCCGGCCACCTGCCCCTTGAAAGTCACGCCAGTACGTTGAACCCGCGTGCCTAGGAGCGCGGGGGCCGAAGGGAGAAATCTCCCTGTCCTGCGGCGAAAAGCGCGGCGGGGGGGGGGAACCTGCTCTTTCAGCCAGGAGCCGCATCTCCGCGGAGATCGGTGCTGCGCGCCTGCGCGACAGTCGGGCTCGGAGAGAATGCGCGTTGGTGGGTTGCCGCGTTCATGGCCCGAGGTCACTCCATTAAGGCCCGGCTAGGAGCAATCGCTAGGTACCGGTAGTGGGGCACGGTCAGTTTTGACCTCGACTCCTGATACAAAATAACGGAGAGCAGCCTTCTCCCCAGAGAAAAAGGTGGTCAAACTTTGCAATCTGGTACCGTTTTAACACCTTTACTGAAAAAAAGGTTCTGTGAGATTTACATGCACCTCCTTATGGGATTAAGAGGGAAGAGTCTTTTTAAAAAAGGAAGGGAAATATGTAATTGGAATGGAGAAATAGAGGACACAACAAGCAGGCCACGATATATTGTTTCCTGCAGAGCAAGAATAATACAGATAATCCTCAACTTATGACCACAATTGAGCCCAAAATTTATGTTGCTCAGTGAGAATTTTGTTAAGTGAGTTTTGCCCCATTTTATGATTGTTCTTGCCACATTCGTTAAGTGAATCAGTGCAGTTCTTAAATTAGTAACAGGGTTGTTAAGTGAATCTGTTTTCTCCATTGACTTGGCTTAGCAGAAGGTTGCAAAAGGGGATCAAAGGACCCTGGGACATTGCAAATGACATAAATGTGAGTCAATTGTCAAGCATCCAGATGTAAATCATGTGACCATGGGGATGCTGCAACGGTCATAAGTGTGAAAAATGATCATAAGTCACTTTTTTCAGTACCATTGTAACTTTGAACAGTCATTAAATGAACTGTTGTAAGTCGAGGACTACCTGTAGTAATGGGGGGGGGGGGAATGTGGTCCAGTGCAAACTTTGGGCAACCACTGATGCAGCAACATCTGCTCCCTTGGCAGGTACCCTCCTTACCAGATCTTCCTTTGGTCTTTTCCTGTGACCAACAAGCAATCAAGTAATAGGGAAAAGCACAAACAACCTCCATGGCTGACACATGTTGGTAGAAGAGCTTACAAAGGGCGAAGTTTTACTCTGCCCCTTTATGAGTGAGCCTAAGAGCGTCCACGTTGAAATGACCGGAGATAGACTGTGATGAGTTTACAGGTGCAGCAGCGTGTTTTCTGCCTGTGCATTAAAGCACACACCTGCCTGCTTCTCCAAGATGAATTAAGGGACTTACTTATGCTGGATGATTCACGTCAAAGAAATGGACTTTCCTACCAAGCTAGGAAATTAGCCCAAGTGAAAATTAGTGGCAGAGAGAGTAGCACCACCATTGGGACGGCTCCTTTCATACTGTACTCTGGTATATTTTACATGCTCGAGCAAGTGGCGGCCAACGCGGGTACGGGCTGCGGCTGGCGTTTAACTCTCCAGCCTTTGAAAAGGCACCGGCCAAAGTCAAAACCTGCTTTAGGGTCCGAAACGGCGGGGCCGCGCACAGGAGGCGGTCGTCAGGTGAACCTAGGTGGAAGGCAAGCGCCCAGCCCGCCAAAGTCAGGCTGACTCTGATTTGTTGCCCCGGCAGCCCATCTTTCCTCCGGCATCTGGGCTGACGCTCGTCTCTTTTTCCTTTCAGCAAACGACTTGAGCCAGGTTCTGAAGTGACCGACGCGAGCAATGGCAGCGAGGACGGACTAAATTACCCCAAATTTAACCTATCCTGATTGTGAACCTTCTTGCTGCCGGCTGACGTCAAGCGAAGGGGGGGGGGGGGGAAGCCTTGTATAAACGCTCGGGTTAAAAAAAAAAAAAAATCCTTTACACGAGCGTTGAATTATGAATTACAGAGCGGTGAGTTATGAGAGCAAAGAGCGCGTCTAAGCCAATAAATACGGTTCGCGTCTCTCAATCTGTCAGCCGCTCAGTCTGCAAGCGCGCGCGCGCGCGTGTATGCCTGCCTGTGTGAACGCGCGCCCGCGGGCACTGCAAATGACAAAAGCACGCGGCACCTGGACAAAGCAGCTGCGGTTTCTTGTCTGGCTCAAAGGTGCCTGGCCCTGATATCATTCTCCTGTGTCCCATTTCTCGATCTGGTGGAAGCTCTGGTGCAGGGGTAGGCAACCTTGGCTCTTTTATGACTCGTGGACTTCAGCTCCCAGAATTCCTGAGCCAGCTATGCTGGCTCAGGAATTCTGGGAGTTGAAGTCCACGAGTCATAAAAGAGCCAAGGTTGCCTACCCCTGCTCTGGTGGAAGCTACCCGTAGGAAGCCAAACGAAGGGGCTCCACAAAGCCAGCTTCGCAAAAGCTTGACTGACATCACCCTCGATCCTTCAGCATATTTTTCCCCCCTCTCGGTCCGACCACCTCCTTTGCTTGGCTCCTACTCCGTTGTAGATGGCAGAGATAACCCAGCGTGTTAACAAACTATCCTTGATCCTTCATTGGGAAGAGGGACAGATGAGGTGATCTTATCCAGCACCACGGGGACTGTTAATTCTTGGGATCCTGTACTGACCTGAGAAAAGGAAGAGAGACAAAGATTCCCCTCCCCCCCTTTATTGCAATCAAATAATTAATCTGTAGATTCCTTACTAACCTGTATCCCCAGAGTTAATTTCACCTGAGTCCCCGCTCAATAACAATTACTTTAATATATTTCTTATGGAATGAACTTGGGCCAGGCTTCCTAAATTGTGCTGATTAGTACAAGAAAGACTGACAGGCTTTGTTCACACGTTTAACCAGATTACTAAATTAACTTATTTTCTGGAACCGCCTCATACCCTGAACTGTAAAATAACCAGATGAACAGTCGAACATGATGTTTTAGTGTTTGTTCGTTTTGTTCCCCCTTTTTGGCCAATAGTGTTTAATTTAAGTCGTGTAACACACTTACGTAACGATCTTTTGGACAGGATTTGAAACAGATATCTGTGTGAGTGTAACAACTACTTGTAATATGTTCTTCAGGGTACAGTCTCTTGTTTTGACGACGGAAACCAATCCTCCCTTTTCAGCCACTGGGAATAGTTCTAAGGCCTATGGGAAGGGTTCATACAGAGCACTAAGCCATAATGTGGTTTATTAGTTCTAACTAAATCTGTTAGCTTTTCTTGTATATAATAGACTATAGTTTATGGACTATGGTTTATGGCAGACACCATAACCAATTATCAAAAGAACATCATCTGTGTATTTATAAGAAGGGAAAACCATTAGAAATTAAGAACTGTCTAGTCCAACCTTCTGTATTCCAGAGTGACCAATCAAATACATTCTGGAATCTCTGAAAGATGGAGGATAATCTCTTTCTTGCAGCCCCAAAACACATACACACCCCATAGGAGCTGACAATTAAGGGCTGCTACTTTTGATTTAGAGGCAGCAAACAGTTGTCCAATCTTGCCCAATGCTCTCAAGTTTTTTAGTCCTCTAAAACTATCTGAACTAGTGACTGCCAACACCTTTGATGACAAGAGTTTCCTGGTGTAAGCATGGAAGAAGACAAGGTAAATTCTCTCCTGCTAACAATAAGATTGCATGGTGGGGTAGTCCCCACCAAACCAGCTTGACCTGAAGGCTTTCATCAGGCCCAAATCTCATTACTTTTAGTTTTAATGAATGAGAGGGAGCATCAATCTGAAGGGATAAGAAACATTAATGGGTACCAAGGACATCTTCTATAAATAGGATACCCAAGAGACAATAAGGGAGATATAAGGTTCTCCAGTTGGCTTTCCTCTGGTGAAAGGAAGCACCAGCAAGTTTCTCATCCTGCTTGCTTCCATCAAATGTCCTGGGCATCAAAGAAAATGTGATCTAATTATCTCTGCCCGCTTCTTACCAGGGCTAGACATCAAAATATGTTCCCTTTAACCTGCTGCCCTATAGATGTGTTGGACTACAATTAGCATAATCTCTAGCTCAGTCATACATTGTAGTCTAAAAGGGCAGTCTCAGGGGAGCTAGTCTTATGGTAACTACATGGAGACATCCAGGCAAGTTTCTTGGCAAAAGTCTCATATAGTTGGCCATTGCCTCTGAATGTGTCTTCATATTCATCTTCACAACCTGACTACAAATCTGGATGTCCTGGTAGCCTCTTGCTCAAGTACTAATCAAGTTGAAGCATTTAGCTTTTTTTAAATTCAGACAAGATTTAGGTTAGAGCAGGAGAAATCTGGAACTCCCCACTCAAGAAAAAAAATCAACCAAAGTGGTGAAGCTTTTGTTGAAGACTTAAGACAAAGAAGGATGGAGGAGCCAGAAGTTTCTTCCTGATCTCTCTGAAGTATATTCAATTTATTCTTAAGCCAGCTTTACAAAAGGGTATCGATTAGTACCATAGAGGAAACAAACCAAACGTTAAAAGGAAGAAAACATGTCAACGGTTATACATAGAGCCGTTACTATATAAAAATCTATTTTATAGAGTAGGTTTTCCATCCAATTTATAAGGTAAATTTGTGGAGTTTTGACGATTATGTTTGTTCAACAACTAAAGGTTTAAAGGATCAACCAAGGGAATAAATAGATAGGTAACTGTCTGAAGTGGGCAACTTACTATTGTGTTTTTCCTGAACCTTTTCACACAACCTCAGGCCTTCCTCTAGTAAATCAGCCCCAAGGCCTTAGGTGGAAGCACTATCCTGCCAAGACAACCTTAAAGCTGCTGGCTTGTCCTGAATGGCAAATTGAGGGTAATCCATTCCAAATGAAGATATTTTAGATTCAGGGCTTAGGTCCATAATCTCATGGCCCAGCCTCTTCAAAGAAGGGACCATGACCATCAATTCCTTTGTTAGGGTGATTGTAGTGCTCATAATCCTGTTCCCCTCCTGATCATTAGCTCTTCAGTTTGAAAAGACATTGGATTTAAACAGATCTGTTGCTGTGTGTAAGGTCTGCAAATGGCAAGGAAGCTGGTTGGCAGAAGCTGCATTCATACAATTTGTTTAATCCTGTATTTCTCACAATGTGCTAAACTTGATTACTCTCAATCTCGATATTTATGAAGGATTTAGTGGGCTATACAAAGGGAACCTAGCTTGTTTAGTTAGTTGATTCAGGG